GTGAAAGCGAGCGGGACCCAATTACCAAGGCCACAAGAGGTCGCAGGCAAGTTTCAAATGTCATATCAATTGATGAAGTACGCAATGAAATCATCAAGCATTTTCAACAACTCCTTCCCACTAAGTATTGCAAGTCAACCGAAAAGGTCTGCTCAGCAGGACCCCCCGGAAGCCCTGAAGTCCGACGTGTGAAAGAGACACGTGGCAGGAGGGGACCAAAAGGATAGAGAGGACTTCAAGGTGATATGGGTCCACCAGGTAGGCATGGAAAACCGAGGATGACTGGACCTAATGGACCAAAAGGAGTGAAAGGGGACCGGGGCGAGAAAGGCGCAAAAGGCCTGCCAGGACCACCCGGTAGACCCGGAGAGTCGATATCCGCCCCACAAGTCGTGATATCACCTGATAAACAGACTCAAGATGAAGGAAGCAATACAATGTTTTACTGCACGGTTTCTGGGAACCCACGTCCCCAGTTCGAATGGAGATTCAAGAGCGAGAAGCTTGTATCTGGATCGAAGACGGCAAATTGACAATTAAACGTTTGAAATACAGTGATGCTGGACCTTACTCTTGTGTCGCGACGATTGTTCTCGGATCACACGAAAGTTCTAGAAATTTAACCGTTCGAGGTGAGAACACAACTCGTTAAAATTGTTTTGAAAGGCATTTCGATTCATTTTACAAAGGAATTTTTTTCCCCACATTGTCATTATTCAAATCTATTTTAAGCTGTAGCTATTTTGAGTACCGCCTTAAAGATATCTAAACCAGACCACTGGGGAGATATCGTCGAGATATCTGGCTAGTCAAAATTTTCCCAGTTTGGCGTAGTGTACTTCTCAATCAACAAGAAGGTTGGATGGAACGCGTGAAAGTTTGTTTTTTATTAACACTATAAATTTTGGACCATTAAGTAATCAGTGAAAATGTCTCACGTGATGTCGCATCCATATTTAACTTCACTTGTTCTTTGCTGGCTTGATACAGGTCTCCCGTTTTTCACTGTGGTACCTCCAATCAAATACCAGAAAATCTGAATGACGTAAGGTTTCACGCGAAAATGTGGATGTTGCGAGAAACACTGAAGAAATTTGAGAGCTCGAAATGTTTCACATGTTCATCGTTGTGCCCTGGTAAAGATAGAGTATATATTTTTGGGCAAACTTCTCACAATTTCGTTGAAATTATAGAATCTACGCTAAACATAGACGTCAACTGCTACGCCAAAGACACGAACGCTAGACTGTTTGAGCGGTTGTTAAAGTTTCAGCGAGCAACTGAGAAAGTAGAAGCTAAAAACTGAACTGAAACTCTTTATTCGCACTATTTCAAGAGGTTACTACAGATTATAAAAGTCAGAATATATAAGAAACAGTAAATTACATCAATAATCAAAAGGAAATACAAGACGCCTTTCAATCTAGGCCAAGGGCTAAACGCTTGCTTCGACCTACAGATGGAGATCAGGAGGAAAAAAGCGCGTGCTTGCCGTCAACAAACCGGGCGAAGCTTCGAGAACACTGCAATTTAGGTCGGCCAACGTCTCCTACACTACTTGTACTTCTTCATTTGCCAGTCCGCTGCTAGCTGGAGCGAACCCGATTAGTTATGTTCGTGGCTTCTTATCACCGGTACAGGAAATCGGCCCGAATTATCGAGTGTTTCCGCACGTTGGTACAACGCAACAACAATAACAATAATATGACCACTTTCATCGGTAACATGGTCAAACACGAGCGGGAGTGCTTGATATATTAACGATTTCCCGGATCCTGTAGGCAACTTAACAAAAACATCTTCTTTCTCGACTAAAACTTTTTTAATTGCAAGCTTCTGGTGAGCTTTAAGCTCGAAAATTTTGAACTTTGACGACGCTTTGCGAAAAGCTCCTTCAAGCACCGCCATTTGTCTTGTGTTTTCCACATGAGGATCGCGATAGAAAACGATATCTGATTGGACGAGTCTCAAAAGGTGAGTCTGGCGCGAAAAGGTTCCTGAAAATGGAACCCGAGCTGTGATTGGCCAATTCGGAGAAAGGAATGTAGTTCGGTTGTCAGCAGCCGTTCTTTTGGGGGAGCGT